AATTTCATGGCTGCACTCACCATCTGCAGTGATTTTGGAGCCCCCCAAAATTAAGTCTTTCACTGTCTCCACTGTTTCCCCATCTATTTGCCATGAAGTGATGGGACTAGATGCCATGATCTTAGTTTTCTGAATGTTGAGCTTTAAGCCAACTTTTTCACTCTCTCTCACTTTTATCAAGAGACTCTTTGGTTCCTCTTCACTTTCTGCCATAAGGGTGGTGTCATCTGCATATCTGAGGATGTTATTTCTCCCTGCAATCTTGAAAGAAATATTCTACTTGATCTTTTTTTTTTTATTTTGGCCATGCTGCATGGCTTGCAGGATCTTAGTGCCCCTACCAAGGACTGAATCTGGGCCATGGAGGTCAAAGCACGGAATTCTAATCACTATGTACCAGGGAACTCTCTGTACTTGATTTTATAAGGAAACAATGGGGAATAGAGTGTATCTACTTAAAAGACTATGATATTAGGAAAGTTAAGAATGCTTTAAGGCTAAGTATTCTTCATACATACAGAACAACTCTCTTGGGTTCAAACATAAATGACAGTAGAAGAAAACAGTCTGTGAATTTCATTAACATAGGGTACCTAACTGGAATGCAGTACTGCAGAAGTATTTTGAAGATTTTTCCACAGTTAGTAAAGATAAGGTTACTGCTTTTAGAAGCTGTGAAATAAAAAAATAGATTAGTTTCTGGCCCTGTTCCTGGTATAGAGGTTTCATAGCCTTTGTAATTTCCTAAGGGATAAGAGCACTAGACATATCTTTTGTTCTAATATTTGATCTTTGACCTGATTCCAGACACAGAGCTCCTAAATCCTTTGCAATTTCTTGGATGACAGCAGTGTCTTTTGTTCTAATGAGGCATCTCTTTGTGGGCCCCTAGACAGCTTCAGGATGGGAGCTGGTCACCATACAGATCAAACTCTGATTAAAAGCTTCTTGGAATTTTCAGCCCCATCATCCATCTTCCAGGAAAGGAAAGGAGTTGTAGACTGAGTTAATGACCCATTATGCCTATGTGATGAAGCCTCCATAAAAATCCCAATACATAGGATTGGGCTGGTGGATGAGTAAAGGTGCTAGGAGAGTGGTGTACTTGAGAGAGCATGGAAACTGTGCTCCTTCTCATATATCCTGTGCTACACATCTCTTCATCTGGTTGTTCATCTCTTCTATTATATCCTTAATGATAAGATAGTAAACCATTTCTCTGAATTCTGTGAGCCATTCTAGCAAATTATCAAACCCAAAGAAGGGGTCATGGGAACCCTGATTTATAGCTAATCTGTCAAAAGCAGAGATGACAATGGGGGACTTGCAACTGGTGTTTGGAGTGGTGGCAGTCTTGTGGGACTGAGCCTGTAAGTGTGGGATCTGATGATAATTCCAGATAGACAGTGTCAGAATTAAACTAAATTGTAGGATACTCAGCTGGTGTCAGAGAAATACCTGATGGGGCAGAAAACCCACTCATCTGGTATCAGAAGTATGGTATTGGTAGTTGTGTTAAGGTGAAACACAGAAGGGTTTTTCCTATAGGGGCTTAATTCAAAACCATTAAAACAAAACAAAAACAAGGGCTTCCCTGGTGGCTCAGTAGTTAATAATCCACCTGCCAATGCAAGAGACCAGGGTTCAATCCCTGGTCTGGGAAGATCCCATACGCCGTGGAGCAACTAAGGCTATGCATTACAACTACTAGAGCCCGTTCTAAAGCCCGGGAGCCACACTACTGAGTTCATTTGCCCCAACTACTGAAGCCCATGTGTCCTAGGGCCCATGCTCTGCAACAGGAGAAGCCACGACTGAGAAGCCTTTGCACTGAAACTGGAGTTTCTCTCTGCAGCTAGAGAAAAGCGTGCACAGCAACGATGACCCAGCACAGCCATAAATAAATAAATAAATATAATTTTTTTAAAAAAACAAAAAACTGCAGGTTAAAGCCCAAAATTGAAAATTTCAATCCAGCTACTGAAAAAGGTAGGAAGAGCTCCTTAATTTATAATAAGAGATGGAGTAGATGAACTAGATAATTTTTAAGATAATTTACAGCTTTGTGACCCTATGATTCAGGAATAATTAAAAATGATATTACCTAACACGTGAAACCAACAAAATACTGTAAACAACTATACTCCAATAAAATTTTTTTTAAAAAATGATACTACCAAATTTAGTGGTTTCCAACCACAGACACTGCCAAAGAAGGGAAAGCCAAGAGTCAGGTGCCAAGGCTCCAGTCAATTCATTCTACTCTTTCCAGACCAGCTGGTATAAATTTCCTTTATCCTAGCTATGTTTTTTAGAAAAAAGAGGAATTGTAGTGCTTAAAAAAAAAAGAAGTATGAAAACTATCACCCAGATAAAAAGTTGCATCACATATACAGCAATAATATGCAGATTTCTAAGTAGGTATATTTAATGAAAACTGGACTCCATTTACACTGATAATTATAAAGAATGTCAAAAGTAATTGAGTGATTGACTATATAAACCATTAAGCATAATTACAGCAATATTCAGAGAGAGTATTGTCCTATGACATATTTTGCAGAAACTTTCCAGAAATTTAAAGACAGACCATGGTAAAGAGGAATTCCACTGAAATTCTATGCTTTTAGAACTAATCATAATCATTTTTAAGTACTGGAATATATAAAGTATTTACTGGGTCCTTACTGCATAAAAGGTTGAGTTATGCTAAAGAAGCAGGCAGTCAAAGTTGTGACACCACCCTACACTCAAGTCCTGGTTCAACCAGAACAGTTCTGTTTCCATGTTTTTAGACTTTTTTTTTTTTTTTCTTTTCAGCGCTGCCTGGCTTGCAGGATTTTAGTTTCCTAATCAGGAACGGAGCCAGGGACCCATCAGTTAAAGCACAGAGTCCTAATCTCTGGAGTACCAGGGAATTCTCACAGATTGAACATTTTTAAAAATTATGCTTGAAAAAAGAATCCTCTCAGAGTAGGGAAAGGCTCTTAACCTATGCTCAAGTTGGAGACAATGCAGGTGTAGAGTGTGGAGGAAGGGGCCTTTACTGATGAACAAGTGTTAGAGCAGGCATCAAGTGTTAGAAGACTGGAAAACTGATGAGTCAAGGCAGGACCCTGTGCTTGCAGCTCCTCCTAGCAACAATAAATCTAAAAGCTAGTAATTTTCCTTGGAGAATGCAAAAACTGTGTAAGGGGGAGAACCATGAAGAGTCAACTCTAAAGGACAAAATCAAGTACAATAGGAAGTCTCACCTTCTAAATCAAATGACTTCAAATAAAAATGCTGGTTAAGGCAACAAAGCAAACTCATTTTGCACTGAAAAACACTAAGACATTAAAAATAGTAAATGTTTCCTAGTTAATAAGGAAAAGACAGTAAAGGAAGATGAGTGGAGCAGGAAGGCACTGGGTGACAGACACTTTGCTTGTAAATGAGAAAAAAGAGATCCCATAGTATCCTTATTAACTATACAGCTAACTAAAGCTAGCTGCTCTTTTATCAAATTGTAACAAAAAACCAATTTCATTATAATAGAGATTTTCTTGCAAAGAACTTTAGCACAGTATTACTATTCAAAGACATTGACATGAAAGAAAATATTATATCTTGGGACTTTGAAATACTGTTTTTAAAATATTCTGACTACTTATATAAAACAGCTGGACATCGGTTATGGTATTAAACCTAGAAAACAAAAATACTAAAGACAGAAAAAGAGATAAAGGCTACTAAGAAGGAAACAACAAACAAATGTTCCAGAAGGCTACAATGGAAGAGTTATTACAAATGAGAACTTAATCTAATTCTGATATTCTTTGTATCAGAAAAGAACCATCTCAAGAAAGGAGAGTTAAAGATCTGTTTTGTAGTTCTCATGAAAGCTACTGGGGCCATATATTTAACATCTCTCACAAGTATGACACTACTACCAACATTTCAATAAAATGTATCAGCTACAGTATATTGAAGTGTCCAAGATTCCACTTAGGCTGGTTCAGACAGCAGGCCACTGACTAAGGGCTTAACACCTGTACTTTCAAGAAAGAAAAGTTAGCAAACGAATGAATTTGGCTTTAATTTATATTTCTACCACTGAATTAACAGGCTTGGCCTTGATCAAGATCCTTTATTGGCCACAAATGAATTAAAATTTATTTTGATTTCCACAGCAAGAACTCAAGCTCAGTTTTGTTCACATGCTATTATTTAACAGGAAAGCCCTAAGTTAACAATATGTTAAGTGTACACAAAACTTCACTCATTAACTTTCTAAATTCTTTTCTTCTTATACACGGTCAGTAGCAGATAGTACCTTTAAATATAAATTAAAACTTATAGGTTAAATAAGTATTGAAGAGAATTAAGCACAAATAATTGAATCAAAAGGAATTAAATCAAAAGGAAAGAATTTATCATTAGATACATTTTAAACATAACTCTCAATTACTTCAAATGTCTGTGACAATCTACTTGTTAAAAAGAACATCTTGGTTCTTTTTCTGATAAAAAATAATTTCAGTCCACAATACTACACTGCTAATAGTTCCTTCTTTGTTTTTGTGATTTTATATTCGTGACCAAACAAAACTAGATCTTTCCTCTTCTCAATTATTAAGTCAAATCACAAAAATTTAGGTAACATACAATGGATGGTTTCTATGAGGCTGAACCATATGATTTTGCTAATATCCAACTATTTTTGATACACAAAACAAGTAATTTTATATGGTTCAACTTAATATGAAAATTGGATGAGACTCACACCTTCCCATTTAAAATAATTTCAACTTGAAATGTCTTTAAAGGAAACCTTTATTTATAAAACTTAAGGTTATGTAACTATTAGTAAGTACAATAATTAACAAAAAAGAAACATTTCCATTATGACGTATAAAATAAAGACCTTTTAAGGATAAGATGTTTAGAAAATGCTACTGTGCCTTCAGATTTAAACGATGATTAAGCATTTCAATACAAACAGAAAATTCCATACTCACATGTTTAAAGCAGGTAACTGGAGCTGCTATAAAGCTATTGCTATTGATGTAGTTACCCCAGTTGAAACCTTCTGTGGAGACTGCTGCTGAAATAAAATAAGTTTAGATATATTGGAGTTCTCAGATCTTTTATTTGTAAGAAGGTTATTACTTTATAATTGAAATGACACATATTTATCACCTCTAAATTAATTTTTTTCCTATAAAGCAAAACTTCTGTAAATAAATATGAACTTTAGCATATATCATATTTGCACACAAACGGTTTAACTTTTCTACACACAAGATATGCTCCTTGGGAAGTGAGGCAAGAGCTCTCCAATTATAAGGAACAAAGAATAACTGAAAGAAGATATGTTCAGGATAACAAACACTGTTCTGACTGCTCCTGTGGTTTATTCCCATGTAGCTCTAACTGCACACTTCACTGAAATTTCTATCCAGTATCTACCACCTAATACTTTCACTATCGTTCTTTACTGTCTGACTCCCTACTTACTGCCTTGCTTTCGCACTCCTGTTAAGAATCTTTTTGTTAGAAAAGATCCTTTCCTCAATCTCCTTCTCTTGTTACTCTCTTCTCTCCAATCCCTTTGAAGCCTAATAAATGTCATATCTCTTTGCCTTATCACCACAACGTTTCCCACTGTCCACAGCCAGAGAATCAATGCATAAAAAATAAATAATAAACAAAATAAAAAAGAGTATTATTAAGGAGACTGTCACAAGCACCATAACTTGTAAACACTATACTTTTCTAGGATAATTTACTGAAATGAAAGAAGCCTAGTGTCATTATGTGCAAATAGGGAACAGAAATAGCTTAGTTAACAGAATCCAAAATTAAAATGTTATTAATTAAAACTAGATGAATTAGTATCAAATATTTTACCTCTTGCATTCACCCATATTACCTGATTTAGTCTTTGCTTGATTTTGTAAGGTAGCTTGATACTGAGCATATGCAGCTAGTTTAGCAACTAAAGGTTGTTTCTGAAGAACTTTTGCTTTCTTTGTTGGAGGCTTACCCTAAAACAAGAAAAGTTAAGTAAATAGGATTCTTTATCATTCCCCACCCCCAAATGTGAAAACTGACTTGATTGCATACTACTCATTTTAAGGAAACATTGAGGGTTTAGAAAATTATTAAAGCAGAGGAAACATACAAGAAAATTCACATGAGAAATGTTTTCTGGAATTCTGCTACAATGTAGATATCTAAAATGGGTAGCACAGCTGGCACAGACTTAAATAGCAATATGCAAATTAATATATTAATAAAAAATTATATCCCATAAAATGTTAAACTATAGGCTGTGGTGGATAACAGATTCCATCTTGTACTAGATAAATCCAGTGGTTATTCACTCATGCAGGTTGCTAAGCATTACTATTTATATAAGAAAAAAATAATTCAATGTTTAAACAGCAAGTGACTGAGGTTTATACCTTTAGCGCTAATGCAAAAGATCAATGACAAAATGATCATGGGCCAAATTCAGTGTGACAAACTGCCATCCATTTGGGTACAGACCATTGCTCAGGATCTTTAGGGACTGTCTATCTGAAATACAGAAATACATCTAAGTGATGTATTTCCTTAATTTGGGGAACTTAAATAATCCTTTCAGTGCTATGTGCTACCTTATTACAATAAGATGAAGAAGACGACAAATGTGATCATTCAAATAAAATATATTACAAAAATCAGCTATGTGATGCCTAGTTGTTTATATGCTACAATAGTAATAACTTAAACGGTTGTTTTGCAGGCATTCCAGTCGTTTTGTAGGCATTCCAGTCATTTTGTAGGCACTGATATACATTTATAGAAAGACAATTTTCTTTTAGTATTATAATTGCTTCCAAAAAGGTTAGTTGGATTAACCAAATACCCTTGGTCAAGGTATCAAAGGGGTTGCAATGAAAAGTACAAACCAAAAATAATGGAAAAATAACACCAAAGGGTAAATCATTCCCTGCCCCCAACACTGAAATTTTCTACCTTGATACTAATTACAAAGAAAACCAGGGAGGAAAATGGCTTCAATTTATATATATATAAAGATATTTATTACATTTATACTTATTTAGAAAAAAGACACAAACAATTCAGTTTATTTTGGATAGTATGCCTTCTCTATTTATAACAGCTGCTCAAATTTTATAGAATGGACAAGCTCACATATTTCTTAAAAATGTGGGGTATAAAATACTAACAGGCTAATAAGATAAAGGTGGAGTATAGCGAATCACAATCAAATGACAGACAAACAGTGAAAGCCATAGAAATAACAGATGTAAGAACAAGGTTTCTGTACCGTTACCTGAAGTCTGGCCAAAATGCTTGCCTTCTTCGAGTTTGACGAGTAACTTCTTGAACATGAAACACTGCAGAAACGCTTTGTTTTAGAGTAAAAAGCATCTCGCACACCAACCATTCCACACATTTCACAGGTAGCTAATTAACAAATAAAAACACTGGTGTTATGATCATAAAACTGATTTTCATCTAACAGTTTAATAATTCCTCCAATTATCTGAAAGTTTTAATTTTTAAAACATTCCTTCAGGCAGATAGAAAATTTCTTCTGTTACTTTAGAAAAATCCAAATAAAAGGTAGGGGAAAGATTAGAATGATGCCATGGCTACAGGCTCCAGAAAAACTGACAATAAAGTCTGGAAAGGCTTTAAAAAGGATCAAAAGACACACAAATGTAAGTTAGATTCAACTAACATTTCCTTGGTGCTCACCTTGTGCCAGACATTACAAGATCTAATGTTTGAAAGGATTATAAATAAAAGATGAAAAGTAGCTGCAGTACAAGTGAAGAGTAATGCAAAGCACAGCACAGGTCTTTAAAGTATTGAGAAGATTGAAACATAAGGGTAACAAAAAGTGAATCTCGAAAGATACACAAGTTGTGGGACTGCTGCATTATACAGTAGTCCTATTCTCAAATTTGTGAGGAATCACCATACTGTTTTCAATAGTGGCTGTACCAGTTTACATTACCACCAAGAGTATTTGAGTTTTCCTTTCTCCACATCCTCCTCAACATTTGCTATCTCTTGTCTTTTTGACACAAGCCATCCTAACAGGTAATGAGGTGATATCTCAATGTGGTTTTCATCTTCATTTCCCTGATGATTAGTGACGCTGAGCACCTTTTCATATATTTATTGGCCATCTGTAGGTCTTCTTTGGAAAAAAATATCTATTCAGGTGCTTTGCCCATTTTTAAATTACATTATTTGCTTTTTCTGCACTATTGAGTTGTACACATTCTTCATGTATTTTGGATATTAACACCTTATCAGATATATAGTTTACAAATATTTTCTCCCATCCTGTAGGCTGTCTTTTCAATATATTATTTCCTTTGCTGAAAAGAACTTTTTTAATTTGTTGTAATCTCACTGTGTATTTTAGCTTTTATTAGCTGTGCTTCTAGTGTCTTATCCAATAAACCAATGTCAAGATGAAAGTCAAGGAGCTTTTTCCCTATGTCTTCTTCTAGGGGTTTTATTGTTTCAGGTCTCACATTTAAGGTTTTACACCATTTCAAGTTAATTTTTCTACGTGGTTTAAGATAGGTCCAGCTTTTCTTCTGCATGTGGATATCTAACTTCCCAACACCATTCACTAAAAACTGTCCTTTCCCTGTCACATGTTCTTGGTGCCCTTATCAGAAATTAGTCGACTGCAGCCCAGTGTATCAGAAAGGTATCTGACCTCCCACATTCACTGAAGCATTGTTAACAATAACCAAGTTAGAGAAACGTATTAGATGCCTTCTGATGAATGAGAGGATAAAAAAACAAGTTATACATAAATGTATATGTAAATGCATATGTATATGTAAAGTAGATACTATCCATTATAATAGAGTATTATTCAGCCATATAAAGAAGGAAATCTTGTCATTTCTGACAAGGATAAAACTGGAGGGGATTATGCTAAGTGAAATAAGCCAAAATGAGAAAGACAAATATTGTATAGTATTACTTACATGGAATTGAAAAAAAAAAAAAAGCCTATTTCATAGAATGGTGGTTGCCAAGGGTTGAGAAGAGGGAGAAATGGTGAGATGAAGGCCAAAGGGTACAAATTTTCAGTTATAAAAAGAAAAAGTTGTGATCTAATATACAGCATGGTGACTGTAGTTAATAACACTACTGTATTATACACTTGAAACTTGCTGAGTAGATCTTGTGCTCACATGACACACACAGAGAATTAACTTTTGGGGACTTCCCTGGTGGTCCAGTGGTTAAGACTCCACATTCGCAATGCAGGGAGCCTGGGTTTGATCCCTGGTCAGGGAATTAAGAGTCCGCGTGCCACAACTAAGACACAGAACAGTTGAATAAATAAAAAGTTAACTTGGTGAGGTGATGGATGTGTTAATTATCTTGATCTTGGTAATCATTCCACTAGGTACATGGGTATCAAATCACATTTATACATTTAAACATATACAACTGTATTTCTCAATTATTCCTCAATAAAGTTGGGGGCAAAAAAGATAACATAGCAAACAACTACTTCAACGGGTTTAAATCTCCACCTAAACAGTTACAACTGGAGGGACTTACAGTTTAACCAGTACTTATAAATTATAAGAAATCATGGAAAAATGTAAGGTACCAGAGGATGAGAGATAAAGGGGGTCTAATGCGGAAAAAAGCCTGAATGATTTCCTGTTGTAAAAATTCTAGAACAGATTAAAAGGTCTGTGGATCACGTAGGTTAAAAAAAATGCAATCCCAAGGGGATAGTATGTCTTTGCCAAGAATTGAACATGTCAAACTAGAACTCCCATGACTAGGATGTAAGCTCCACCAGGGACTTTATTCTATATTATTCCTATCTGTATCTTTAAAACAGAATCCGGCACATATAAAGCTCCCTCTTGTGACAGATTACCACATTAGTATGTTATAACTAAACCATGGTAAGATGTATATTAATAGGAGTTAACACATTTGATAAAATCTCTCATGTAGCTCTGTCAATTAAGGATTGAGAAATTCAAGCTAAAGTAGAAAAGATCTAGGTAGCTATTAACTGGTTGGATGACCACACCTACTGGGTCCTGATAAATGAAGTTAAGTTCTTTGATATGGTGTGAATGATTGTGTACCAGGCCCTTCGATGCTTAACTTTTAATCAAAATATTAGAATATAATCTATAAGGCATAATCATCAAATCTGCAAATGACAATCAGAAGACACTGCATTCAACATTAGATGACCAAATTAGGAATATGCTTAAATGGATCGCTTCTCGGCCTTTTGGCTAAGATCAAGTGTAGGAATATGCTTAAATGGAAACACAGTGTCCTGAAGAAAAGAGATAAAAGTTGAACAACCTCTGATCTAATCACACAAGGTAACCAACTATTTGCCTGAGGTCTTTTCCAGGATAATCCTAAAACCAGGAGGGTATCAGGCAAATCAGGACAAGTTGCCAACCTACTACCACACAATCTGAAATATCTCCAGAAGAAAGTAAGCAGGATACTGATGAATTAAAACACTGTGATGTTATGAGAAATGCTTGAAGCAACTAGGTTTACTCAGTATGCCCAAGAGAAACACTAAAAATAAATGTTTTTGTGTGAAGGGAAAAAGGACAAAAGTCAGAGGATAATTGAACCAAGGATAATCTTGGTTCAATATAAAGAATATTCTGGTAATTAGAGATACATTATCACTGAAGTGTTAAAACAGAAAACTTAAAAGGAATTGTTAGAGAGAAGGGAGACTTACCTTGAAAGTTTCTCTCAATTCTGGAAGTCTATTATCTTACACACTTCGAATTACATAGGGATTTATTATTTAATTACAGAATTTAAGTCTCATCAAGTTTCTCAACAGCTTTTTTTTTTCATTTTGTTCTACTTGTCAATAAAGAGATCTAACACAAACCCAGTGATCTTATCTAGAACTGTAAGTTTCAGATTCTGTTTCTTTACTGTTCTTTAAAAATTTTAAGGGAAATGATAGGAGAAATGGAATCAAAACATACCCTCAAATATAGAGGTATGATAAAGGTGAAGGCAGTTCACCTGAGCTGAAGTATACGCTGTATACTCACCCATGCCAGATTTACCATCTGGGTATGTGTACACTTGGCCATTGTTTTTGATAATGGGGAGATTAGAAGGTAAAGGAGCAACTTCCTCTTCACTCTCCTCAGAGCTGGAGCTGCTACTTGTGTCCTCACTGCAGCTGTCATAACCGTCAAACATCCCGAATGAGTCTCCTCTGTTCCCTTCGGATCGTGAAGAATGTTCAGTCTTCAAAGCAGAAGAAATCAATAACTATGATATAGCACCCATGTACACCACCCAAAAGACCTTAGTTCAAATTGTGATAAATGAGGTTTGCAAAATGAAAATCTAAATGTCTGTGTCAAAGTAGAGCCCTTCCCCATGAGGCATAAACCTATTAACTACCATGTTAGCTAAAAGGAATAATAATGATGGAACAAACACTGAATGGGAGTCAGAAGATGTAACTTAAGTTCTGCCATAAACTAGATGAGACTTCTCTACAAAAATGTGATCAGATGATTTTTTTAAACTTTAGTGAAATACTCGTAACAAATAGATGGTTTCTTAATTTGCCTTTTATCTCTAAAATTTTAAATTTTTATTTTAATTTAGAGCATCCAGGAAATAGATGCTTTTAAAAATCACTAGGAGTTCTGCAGAGACTGAAAACTTTAAATTTAGGGGAGACAATTTTTAGATATTAGCTATTTCAAAAACTATAGAAGATAGCATTTCTACATGTAACACTATTTCATTTTTTCTTTAACATAAATGGTTAGACATAACCCAATTACCTCCATCTAAACACTATGCCCTTTAAAAAAAACAAGCACAAAGATACTATGTATCACATTCAGCAAATGCTACTCATATGTTCCTCCAAAAGATATTCCCTTACTCAAGCCACCAAAAAATCCCCAAGCTAATACCTACCACCACCCCAACTGTTCCTGAAATCAATTCCAAAACTTCAAATTCAGTGATAAGAAAGTTAACAAAGCAGGAAATAACAAAGAGAAAAAAAAATGGAATATTTGAAATGGAAAAAAAAAAAAAACAAACAAACCCCAAACCATCAATAAACATACATTGAGTTATAGCAGAGTCAAAATTGTCAACCAAAAAATCTTTAGAGTCTGGTACCTATCTTATTCTTTTGCCCAGTTATAAGTTTCTTGGTATCATCTTACACTTTATGCACAATTTCTTTCCTGGCTAGTTTAAAGTCTTAACGTGACCAGTAACAAAGCTGAAATTTATTTCCAAAGCTTGACAAGATAAAACCATGGAAATGCATCTCTTAGTTTTACTAAACAAACTATCATTTTCAGATATGCTAGTATTAAACAGTTTCACTGAGGAGGGGAACTGATTTTCCACTTGTATTATGTGTAACTATGAAAGCAAAAGAAGTAGTTTTTCAATCCATAAAATGGAAATATTATACACTCAAATGAATACAATCTTAAGAAGTCATCCCATTGGGAGGCTCTACAAATGTTCTAGAAATATTGCCACATTAAAAAAAAAACTATTCATCTTTCAGAACTCTCTTTTAGACCCAATTTAAAAAAGAAAAGTTGACTGTAGCCACTTTAGAATTATTCTCCTAATCTCCCACTATTGTTTTCCCTAGCCTGATTATTCAGCAGATTTGGTTTTGAAAAGTTTAGTTATTTCTATAAATCACATGTATCTTCAAAGAATCAAAATCTGCTACCACCAGAAGATTAAAAAAAAAAAAAATAAGACTCTGAAGGCAATTCAAAAGGAAAAGTCTAACAATATAGGTAATACTGGTAAACTGGTAGGGAATAGGATAATCCTTGTGTGTATCAAGTGTGGGGCTAATAACACAAAATTATGACAGACCCAGGTTTGCGATTCAGCTTTGCCATTTACGAACTATGAACCTGGGCAAGTGATGAGTTTCTTTCTCTTATTCATTTAGCATTCAGCAAGCATTTGTTTCTCAGAGAGGCTAAAGAAAGATCAATGATTCTCGTAAAGTTTACAGCAGACGAATCCACAGTTGGGAAAGATTCAAGCAAGGCCATGTGACAATACAAGGCATGTGAAAAGGACAAGGCAAGGGTAGTCAAATGAGATTGAGGAAGGATCCTGAGCACAAAAAAGGCAGCCACTTGAATATCTTGCTTGAAAATTTAACTCAGATGACCATTACATCTACTACTGTGGTCAGGAATCCCTTAGAAGAAATGGAGTAGCCATCATTGTCAACAAGGGAGTGCAAAATGTAGTACTTGGATGCAATCTGAAAAACGACAGAATGATCTCTGTTGGTTTCCAAGGAAAACCATTCAATATGATGGTAATATAAGTCTACACCCAGACCAGTAACGCTGAAGAAGCTGAAGTTGCATGGTTCTATGAAGACCTACAAGACCTTTTAGAACTAACACCCCCAAAAGATGTCCTTTTCATTATAGGGGACTGGAATGCAAAAGTAGGAAGTCAAGAAACACCTGGAGTAACAGGCAAATTTGGCCTTGGGAGTACAAAATGAAGCAGGGCAAAGGCTAATTAGAGTTTTGCCAAGAGAACGCACTGGTCATAGCAAACACCCTCTTCCAACAACAAAAGACAAGACTCTACACATGGACATCACCAGATAGCCAACACCGAAATCAGACTGATTATATTCTTTGCAGCCAAAGATGGAGAAGCTCTATACAGTCAGCAAAAACAAGACCAGGAGCTGACTGTGGCTCAGATCATGAACTCCTTGCTGCCAAATTCAGAAGAATTAAATTGAAGAAAGTAGGGAAAACCAATAGACCATTCAGGTATGACCTAAATCAAATCCCTTATGATTATATAGTGGAAGTGAGGTATT